ACTGAGACACTAAGGGGCATTGGGAGACATTATGGCAGACACTGAGACACTAAGGGACACTGGGAGACATTATGGCAGACACTGAGACACTAAGGGACATTGGGAGACATTATGGCGGGCACTGAGACACTAAGGGACACTGGGAGACATTATGGCAGACACTGAGACACTAAGGGACATTGGGCGACATTATGGCAGACACTGAGACACTAAGGGGCACTGGGAGACATTATGGCAGACACTGAGACACTAAGGGACACTGGGAGACATGGCAGACACTGAGACACTAAGGGACATTGGGAGACATTATGGCAGACACTGAGACACTAAGGGGCATTGGGAGACATTATGGCAGACACTGAGACACTAAGTGACATTGGGAGACATTATGGCAGACACTGAGACACTAAGGGACACTGGGAGACATTATGGCAGACACTGAGACACTAAGGGACATTGGGAAACATTATGGCACAGACACATGGGGACACAGTGTACCCATGTCTCCCAGCCAGTGTCCCTGGTGTCTCAGTGCCCCCTAGTCTCCCAGTGCCCCCAGTCTGCCAGTGCTTAAAGTTAACAACTTGAATCGAGCCTTAAGATCCTGGCTCTGAGGTTAGAAGGCTTAGTGTCAACTTTTGGGGTTACAGTAAAACTGCAGAACCAACCTTGTCACAGAGTGCACCAAAATGAGAAACAATTTATTTAAATTTTACCCCCATCTGCCCTTTGTGCCTGAGTTCCTTCTCAACACAGGATGTACACTCAATAACTGTATATTATAAGGGTAAGCAATTGATATATGGGTTTTTACCTATATAACACTTTTTGCACAAAACTTAAAGAACGCATGTCTCTTTTCAACCTACACAACTCTGTAACTATGTGTCAGTTCTTATTTAAAGAGAGACTCTAGGCACCCAGACCACTTCATCTCACTGTCCTTGCTTAAGTTTGTTTCTGTTTATATTGCAGGGTTAAGACTGCCCCAGTGGCTGTCTGTCAGACAGCCACTAAAAGTGCATCCTGCATTTACACAGAGTTTAACTGGATGACACAAAGCTCTGGGAGTATATCACAAAACTGCTTTTATTGGTACAGCCAATTTACACACAGACCTCTGCAGGGAGTCTCAATTCTAGTCAGTACAAGCCCCGGGCTCGAGGGGGATAGCTTACAGATAACCATCTCCTGCTCTTGGAGATACCATCAGTATAACAAATACATAAAGTAATGCACATCACACTTCCTTAGGGAAACTTACATACACTTGGGGAAACTTAGGGTGCTCCCCATAAAACATACATCCCTGGATAGCTCCTGGTCCCAGCTATGATCCCTGGATCATCGTGTAAAGTCTGAGCTCTGTACATACCCGAAAACAGTTCCACAGAATCACTTGGTTTAGGCTGGTAGAATCAAACTTCGCACCTAAACCACGCGGCGGTCAATCAGGAGAAAGGGCATGAACCAGTTTGCACCAATCAGCGCTCCGGGAGGGAGAAAGGGTGCAAATCCAGTTTGAATGGTAGCCCTTCTCCTATTGGCCGGCACGGACTTCCAGGGCCGTGAAGACGACTCATAGTTTCAGGGAGTCTGCTGGGGCTTGCGTCTCTCTCTCCATATATCTCCATGTAGGTAGCACCAGAGAGAGTGCTCTTTGGGCAGCTACGAGCCTGGATTTGTAGCTCCCATGTACGGAGCCCCTGCAGTCGCTGTCTGACAGTCCGGTTACAGGCATGTAACGGCTACCCAGCTGGTGAGTAGTACTTGCCGTTGGAGACGTCCTTTTCTAGGCAAGCTGCTGTGAAGTTATGGAATTCTTATTCCCATCCATGGTATCCAATTGCATAATCCAGGAGTGCTGTAAAATGAGGCAGAGTAACGGTACCATAAATCCCCTCAAAGAACGAGACGAGGCTACGTTTTGAAGGGTGAAGTAGAACTGATGTTTAATGACAGGGGGTCTCCTTTTATGCAATGGTGCCCTCTGAAAGGCTACACCCACATAATTATTACCACAGCCAATTACATACATGGTTCAACCCTCCCCTCAGATAACATGTAACACAATTAAAACAGACACAATTTTAACTACATTCTGGATGTACCACAAAAACAGGGGGTACACCTTTAAGTCCAGCACCGCTTAATAGCTCTCACTCAGGGGAACAACATATCAAAATTTCAAGTCATTCGGTTAAGGGGTTCGGGAGTTATGGGTCTTTGAAGTTTTAACCGACCGCACAGGTTTTTCAGCCGAAAAGAGTTCCGTACGTTTTGGCCTTGCGGTCGGTCTCCGTTCGTGCATAAAAACCCCACAAACCCCTTGCCATCCACAGTAATCCTGATGTTCGCCTGAATCCCCATGCATGCTTAAACAAAACTACCGAACGGCTGGTCGTTCGGTAGTTTCAGCACGAACTTACGAGCTCCTGGAGGTCTCAGCGGTGTTCGCCTGTTTGCGTATCCGTTTTTAGTTCCATGCGTTCACAGGCAAACACCGCCGTTCGTGCGTAAGATGGCCGCGAACATGTGTAAAGTCCCGAAATGGCGGCCACCTAACCTGAGTACAAAGGGATTCGTCTGAACCATGCGAATGGCTCCACAATCACTGGGAGGTAAAATAGCAATTAACTGTTCCCCTGGGTGGTCTGATGTTCGGTATTTTGGGTTGTATGTTATAGTAGCAATAGTCACACGAACACCAGCCATTCGGTTCTGTTTAACCCCTCCAGCAGCATTGTTGATTAAGTTCAGGCAAAAATACAGGCATAATCATAGTTCTGTTACAAGGCATGAGGCTCCTTGATCTTCTCCAACCAGTGAATTTGGCTCCTTTAGGAGCAGGTAGGGCGATCCCCCCGCATTGGGATCTGAAAACAATACGGGCAAGCAAGTGTGGGTATGGCACTCAGTGATGGCATTCCATCACAGATATCTGAATTGTTCAGCTATTTTGACCTTAAATTAGAAATTAATTTTGAAAGTTTCTCACTTTAAAAAATAATTTATGTCTCACATTATTATATATTAGCTTATATTCTGGTCCATGCTGAGCATTGTCTGACAATATATACTTTTATATACAGGCACTGTGTCCACTTCAGCAGAAATTCCTGGACTTCTTGGTGGATCTGCTTATCTATATGCAAATGAGACTGCCCCTGCAAATCAAGACATAGAATGGACTATGGGCTCAATTATTGCAACATTTATTACTCTTACCAATCAAACAACTTACCAGGGAAAATGCTCAGGAAGGTGTGCATTATATAACAATGGAACGCTGAGAATGGACAAACTTGCAACTACAGATGAAGGCTCTTACTCCGTAAAATATAGGCAACCATCTTTTGCAGTCATCTACACAATCCAGTTTAAAATTTACCGTAAGTAATGACAATCACAAAGTATCCTGGAAAATATGTTCCATAGAGTGCCTGATATTATAAATTTGAACACTGTCACTGAAACTCCACTACAATCTATGTATTCAGTGATGAAGATTCAATGTTTGTTTTCCAAAAGTTTAACAATTTAAAGAAGAAAGTATTTTGTATGTAATTGAGAAGTTAGAATGGAAAACCGTTGATGATGCTTCCCTTTTGGTTATAAATGACAGACCTGTCACAACACATAGTCTCTCTGCATGACACATGATTTTTCATCTGGTTTCCCAATCACCCGACAGCCTAGACTGTCACTCATTGTTAGGAGGACTGAGGGAAAGTGTCTGTTTAACCGCACTCTTTGTGCACATGGAGTTAAATTGAGATAATTTTAAGTCCACACATGAGTGTTTCAGAAACACTCAGTTTATGGGTAGACTGTCATTCTAGCTATCATCCATTGCCATCTCCGCCCCCACCCTTTTCCTCCTCTGAAATGAAAACCTGACAAATAGCCTACATAGTTTACACAATGTAGGCCGTTGTAGTGATTATGGTGCTAGGAAAACCTGGGTGACGTCCGCTGATAATCTGGCAACCGAGATACAAACAGCTAGACTCTTACCTTGCTGTGTCAATCACCAGGTTTAAACTGGAAGGACCGTGAGTGTGCGACACAGCAAAATAGATGTCAGACTGTTTGCAAACAGTCAATTAATTAGATTAAAGCATACAGGGGTTAATCTATACACTTACAGCCTGTAAACACCGACTGTTTGCAAACAGTCGACAGATTAGTGGTAATCCGGAACTACTGATACCATAACCACTACTGTAGTGATTATAGTGCCAAGATAACTGCAAGTGAGTTATGGTCGCAAGATAACAAACTTTGAAAATTTTACCTAAAGTAGGCAGTTATGGGAAAAAAAAAGAAATTGTAGCTCCAGCTTATCCACGTTGGTGTTCAGCTCTACGGTATACTATACACTCAGCTGTATACTAGGATGTGAACACACTAGCAGCAGAGACTGCAATAATGTAGAAATGCTTTACCCACACATACTCAGCCTAATTTAACATTTAGTTAATAAAAAAAACAAGCTAGAAGAATATTATGAATTGTTTACTATGTTTGCTTCATCTTTAGGGAAGATCCATAACTCACAACAGGGACTCACGCACTAGGATTTGTGGGATGCATGTATGTACATAGTGGGCATTGGATAGC